TTATTTATTTTTTTTTTTTTTGATGAAAAACTTGAGTTTATGTCATAAACTTTTTCGAGTACTTTTCTAAATAAGTTCATTGAATTTTTATTTCATCTGACTTATTTGCTAATTTTACTGCACTTTTGATATGACTTATCATATCAGCTTAATTTTTAGTTATCGGCATTAAGTTAAAAAATAAAAGCTCGAAATTCATTTTTAAGCTACATTAGCTAACTTATTAGCTAAATTTATCAAATATAGCCTAAGACTGAATTCAACTCGACAAAAATATATAAATACTCGATATTAGTTGTCTTTTGTTTGAGATTGTCTTCAATTTTAAATAATTTTTTTTTAAAACCAAAATAAGACTTTTTTTCTTCAGTTGCTTGATTTAACTCGAGTTAAAAGTATTTACATAGATATATTTATATTCAAACTGCCTGTCGAGCATTCAAACTTATAACATTCATGCTCGAGTTTGAGTTTAAGGTGCAAGTGCTCGACTTATGTTCCATCAAACTCGAGTCAGACCAGAGCTTTTACTTAGAGAGATCGCTAATTATTCGATTCTTTTGCAATTCTATTTTCGACCTAACAAGTTCCACCAAGTGTCACTCTTTGGCATATTTCGATTGATAACCAAATGAAAATTAAGTAAACTATTTTCAAAAATTAATTGACAAAATATACAAATAATACCCATGTCCTTGTAAACACAAATTAAATTCAATTTCTCTTGTCAATATATAAATAAATTTCTCTTATCAATATTTAAATAAATCTCCAATAATATAACCGCAGTCGAGTAAGCTTTCGCCGTCGGCAATGGAGTCGCTGATACTGCAGCTTCACGATATCTCCGCCGTGAAATTTGGGAACTTCAGGCTTAAATCCGGAATCGCCTCCCCAATGTACATCGACCTCCGCCTCGTCGTCTCTTATCCTTACCTACTCCGCCGAGTCTCGAACGCCCTCGCCGCGGTGATCCCTCCCTCCGCCCGGTACGACCTCGTCTGCGGCGTCCCGTATACCGCTCTCCCCATTGCCACCTGCTTTTCTGTGTCCGCCGATGTCCCGATGGTCATGCGCCGCAAAGAGGTCAAGGACTACGGCACAGCCCGAGCAATTGAGGGGGCCTACAGGCAAAATCAAGCTTGCCTCATAATTGAAGACCTCGTCACGAGCGGCGCCTCCGTGGTCGAGACGGCGGCGCCGCTTCGTGCCGCAGGGTTGAATGTCACCGACGCGGTTGTTATGATTGATAGGTGAAATGATTCCTCTATTATAGGTCTGTTTTCCCTTGAGAGTTCTGATTAATTATTTGCTGAGATATCCATTTTTAACACACTTGCAACTAAAATTTGATTTTGCGGCATTTGTGTGCAAGGTAATATGGGAAGACAATAACGAACAACTTGTGTGGTGTTTATAGTTTCTGATGGTATAATGTTGTTGGCTAAGTGGTATCTTTCTTCTGCCACACCAGTTGCTCAGGCTGGATGCATTGATTTGTTATGTACTTCAGCCTTTTTCTGTGGGTTAGATAGATTATGGCATAAACTTTGTGGGGGTATGATGCAGCCTTTTGAGAGTGTGGTACATATTCATTTTATGTTTTAACTAATGCACTTGTGCTTAGTCACAGAAGCATGGTTTTTGTTTCTTTAGTTGTTTTATTGAACATACTTCAATAAATTGCAACATCAACACATATGATTGCTCGATGCAGCAGAGCATGCTTAATCAATCTTTGTGGAACTGAGAGAGTGTTTAGCTTGACTACCATACACTGTTAAGTCTGTGCTACAGACATATTGTAACCTAAGCATTCTGTAATGTGAAATATTTTTTGCCATACCCTGATACCCAGTCATTGTTGTCTTATTTATTGTTCAAAACAGGGAACAGGGTGGGAGGGAAAATTTGGCAGAAAACGGGATCACATTACACTCAATGGTGAAGCTGAGTGAGATGGTAAAGATATTGAAGGAGAAGGGGAGGGTTTCAGAGGATACAGAGAAAATGGTTGTAAAATTCTTGAAGGAGAACAAAAAGCTGCCGGTACCAGTGGCAGCAGTTTCTGAGAATACGGTCAGAGTTAGACTTTCTTATGAAGAAAGAGCGAAGATGGCAAGGAACCCAACAGGAAAGAAATTGTTTGAGATAATGGTGCAGAAAGGGACTAACTTGTGCCTGGCTGCTGATGTTTCCACTGCTGCTGAGTTACTTGACATTGCAGACAAGGTGAGTTTGAATTTCAAGAGAACAGTTCCTTTATGTCTTTTGCAATGCATCTCTCCAAAGCATCATGTGCGTATCTTGGGAGCCAAGTATTATATAAACAGGAAGACGTTCTGTATATCACTTTTTTTTTTTGTGTTGCACGTAAAGTCCCTTACTGTCAAATATCCTTGCTAACAAAAGACAAAAAATTGCCTGGGAGCTAGAACCCAACTAAAAAATCATTTAAAAATCTCCACTATCTTGTTAAAAGATCCTGAGTTGTTGCATGAAGGTTCATGGATTTTATGAGTAACTGTTCTCCTTGTATGCCCACATATGATACTCTTTCACGCCGCATGTTTGGTGCTTGTACTTGAAAACTGATTTACTTACAAAGCATCTAGGATTTACTGCCTAAAACCCTTTCGTTGTGTGTCTGTAGGTTGGGCCCGAGATATGCATGTTGAAAACCCATGTGGATATATTGCCTGATTTCACTCCTGATTTTGGATCTAAACTTCGCTCGGTATCTCTTTGTTCTGTTGTTATCTTCACAATTACCTAGATTAATGTCTTCTCTCATTGTCAAAATATAGTGATGGAACAATTTGTCCCATTATGAATTTCTTGATCCAAAATTTAATGCTTCAAATGTTAATTAATTTTACACCCTTTTAATGGTCATCCTATTAACCTCCAAATGAGCGATGATTTAATAAAGAATGATCCCCTCGTATATAGATGACATTTTACATTTCTTTCACTCTTTTGTTGCTGAGGGTGCCCTATTGGAGGTGGTGAAATGACTCTTTACATCTGCAGAAAGTAAAATAGTTATCTTCAATTCTTCATACAGCTTTACCCTCTGGTCTCCTCGCCGTGCAGGGCGCCAAGTTCTAATGTCACTGTTGTGTCATGAAAGTAAAAACTCATGTGTTTTCTCCCGTTCTCCTTGATATAGCATCCATGAATTTGCGTTTGTGTGCTATCCATTCACTTAGAAATTATTTCTACTTCATAATATGATAGGAGGATTGTGTGACGCGCAGTAGCATTTTAAGTATTTCCTGATGGGTATATGTTATTCTTGTGTGATAAGTTGCCGCCTTGCATAATTGCATTTCATATTAGGTTGGCCAGGATCCTGCTTTTTAAGAAATTCTTTGGTACTTGTAAGTACCTGCCATTAACTTCCCCGTTTAAGGTTGCATCGGGAAACTTGAAATGTGTACTCCCCAAGCTGGACAAACTTTCCATTAGGAAAGCAGAACTTGTTCTGACTAATTTTTATACATTTAAAGATTGCAGAGAAACATAACTTCTTAATATTTGAAGATCGCAAGTTTGCTGACATCGGTAACACAGTCACAATGCAGTATGAGGGGTGAGATTCTACTTTTTAATTATCTCTTTCCTTTCTCTTACTTTCCATTTGTAATCTGGATTCTTTTATTGCTTTTATTGAGAGTTCTCATTTGTTGTATGCAGAGGTGTCTTCCATATATTGGAATGGGCAGATATTGTGAACGCTCATATAATTTCTGGTCCAGGAATAGTAGATGGGCTAAAATTAAAGGTGTGGATTTCATCTGCTTTTGGCCTTAGGGTGGGCGGGCTATCAGATATTTACTAAATTATGCAAGAATATATGATTACAACTTTTCAACTTTTATGCTGTGCAGGGTTTACCACGTGGCAGAGGTTTGTTGTTGCTTGCTGAAATGAGTTCAGCTGGTAACCTCCTTAAGGGTGACTACACAGCTGCAGCTGTGAAATATGCTGAAGATAATCCAGATTTTGTAATTGGATTCATATCTGTGAACCCTGCTTCATGGCCTGGCGGGCCAGGAAACCCGTCCCTTGTTCATGCAACACCTGGTGTTCAAATGGTAAAAGGTGGAGATGAATTAGGCCAAAAATATAGCACCCCAAGCTCTGTAAGTCACACTTGTGATCTATTTTTTTCCCATATTGTGCTAATTGTTTTGCCATAGTTTAAAGTTAACAGGTTTCCTAGCTGGAAAAAAAATTAGGTTACCTTTTGATATTAATAAAAAAAAATGCTTGTTGAAGTTAATTCCAAAAAATTTCAATATTTGAAAATTTAAGCATTTGATCGGGATTTGGACAATCCTAGATGTACACAATTTTATTTACGTAGTGGTGTCCATACACTTGCATAGAATGAGGCCCATTTAATAATGTATTTAGATGTCCCTCACTTCATGTACATGTATGTGTTTGTTAAGACCTTATTTTTAGCTTTATAGCTTGGAAAATTCTGACCTACATGAATGTTTGGCGAATTGGCTTATAGCTTAAAAAAAGCTCTTAGTTTTAAATATCCCACATAGCATCTCTTTCATAAGCTTTCGGATGGTAGCTTTTAAGCCTTCGGCTTGTTTTCAACTACATTCACCAAATTCCAAATATGCTCTAAATTTTGTGCAAATAGCAAATTCCAATCATATATCTAAATAAAGATGCATCGACATTTGACGCTTTTACCACAGTTAGAATATGATTTCCTTTTTTTTTGCATCTTCGATATCATTTTGCACCGAATTGTTCTTACGTGGGATTGATCAAGTCGAGAAAGGTGATTTAGCTCTCCAAGCTACAGACTGGTCTTACTAGAACGTGTGGTTTCAGGTAATTTCGGACAGGGGCAGTGACATCATTATAGTCGGCCGTGGAATTATAAAGGCAGCAAACCCTGTAGATGCAGCTCGGGATTATCGCCTTCAAGGATGGGATGCATATTTAGCCAGTTGCAAGTGAGAACTGCCACTGGTTGCTCGAGGATACAGGTTTATGTTCATGTATGTGACGCACTCGAGGCAATGGAGCCAAGACTATCTTGGCTCACGTAGGTGAGCAATTTTAGAAGCAGGATGATTGCATGAAATTATGTTTGGGTTTTAACGTGTACGAATGAAATAAAAATTCTGTCTTTGAGATTTGACAATTTCTCGATGACAGAATAAATTCTATGGACTGGAACTACTCATCTATATATATATATAAACAGAATTAACATTTATTAAAAATAGCAACTAAATTTTGGTCAAAACATCTTTCTTCATTAATTGCATACTATCTATAGTAACTATGTTGTTTTTTTTTTTTTTTTTTTTTCCTCACGTCAGCTGTAATTAAAGTGTAATAATTATAATTATGTTTAGCTGTTATATAATCCCACTAAACACGCTGAATGATGGAGCCGATATTTTGGTAAGATTTTTGCTCAATTTTCAAATCAATATGGTTTATTTTTTGAAAAATCAAAGAAATCAATTTCCTGATATGAAGGGATTTTTTCCCTTCACAATACACATTATTTGACCAGAAATACATTTTAATTAAGGTGAACTATTAAAGAATCCCACAAATCTCTCTTAATTGATTGCTATCAAATTACTATCCGATAATTCAAAGAAATATAAATCCCTTAATTGAAGGGAGTTCGAATTTAAACCTCATATTTGTATTTGGTTTATCCGATATATCATCCATCATAAATTCCAATATACATCCTATAAATATCCTACCTACTAACCAGAAAATACATCGTACACACATCTATAAAATACAAAATCCCAAATATCAAAAACAACATCAATCGCCAGTGGCAATCCCCTTCAGTGTCATTAACGATATTCGAAGAAGCAAGAAATGTCCACTGAAACTTCGTGTGGTTTCAATGCATGAGCTCGAGTCATCCCATCCTCAACGCAACTTCTTGAAGATCCTTTTTCAAGATAGGGAGGTATTTTTCTATTTAATTTTTATTTATAACTATTTGAACTACAAACAATACCATGTTTAATCATTAATTTCGTATATTTGTAGGGGACACACATCATGGGTGTTGTACGCAATAGTTTTATTTCGACGATGAAAAAAGATCTGAAAGTATCGATAATAATTATACTACCTTTTCCATCTATATTCAAAAACTTAACAGATTTTATATAGATTGTTTCACAAAAACTAAAACGTGTTGATTCGAAAATATAGTGTATGTGCAAAATCCACCTATTAAAATAGTCGATCTAAATCAGAGTTTTCTATTTTATAAACTCTTTAAACCTAATCCAAATCAAATAGAATCTTTATTTTTATTGTACTCTATATCTATATATAATCTATATATGTTCTTTTTCGCGAGCAGAATCACAATCATCCTGGCAGACAAAGGTTTTAGTTGTATTTATTTAAATCTTCTTTAACCCTTTTCATCTTCCTCATTAGATACTTAAGATTTTTGTTTTCAAATAGCAAGAAATTCAAAGAAGGGGCATATTCAATCAACAGAATGAAAGGGAAACAAGCGAAGAGAAAACAACCATTAATTAATGCGATCAACTGTCATGAAGTTGAGAATGAAACCACAAATAATCGTGGAGACCGTACTAGAGATGATAATAGTAAGCCAACAACACAATCCATGATGGTAGATGATGAAAATTCCAATCCAAGTAATATTTCTAACTTAATTTTATTTTCTCAGTATTATTTTTTTTTTTATTAAACATGTTATATCTAGGTTTTCTATTGTATTCTGTACTCATGTTATGTGCATCAGGATGTTGTTGCATTGACAAAGAAATATAATGTGTAATTTTCAATTACCAATATCAATTTTTTATATTTACCTTTGTCTGCCTCTGACTTTGTTTTGTAGTCGCATACCTTTGAGATTTTTTTTGGATTTTGTTCGCATCATCCTCGGCCATGAAATCAGGAAAAAAACTTCAATTCAGATGCATATTTTAGTTATATAAATCTAAGAATTAGTAATATTTTGTATTAAAAACCTACCTGCTTGGTCTTCTTTTGTGATATTGTTACTCCAGTTGAGTTGACTGAAATGTAAAACAGAAAAGGTTACAGATGATATATCATCATCAATTAGTCTAACAATAAGTAACAACAATAAGTAACAATGAGTCAGTTATATAGTTAGTGTCAATAACACAGGTTAACATTATCAATTTCTTTATGATGTACTAATTGTAAACAGAAGTTATGGCATGTCAGATAGAATGTATGTTCTTACCAAAATATATATATGTGATTAGTAAACATATATTGATTTAATATATGAATATTGTTTTCAGCAGTAAGTTATTTTCCTCAACTTATTAATGTATCCAATTTCGAATAACTTCAGAAAGGGTTTAAGTAGGGCAAACAAATCAATAGCTTCAATTAGATCATAGGCTGCATAACACGAAAATTAAAATAATTTTATTCGAACATCTTGCGTTGTAACCAAAATAAACACACAATCTTTGTTATTTTCTGAAAGAAAAGTATTTTATTTCGTCGGATCTGAAATAATTATGCAATATAAACGCGTGTTTTGTCGATTTCAACAGAAAATAGTGTATTATTTTCGGGCAAAAATGAAAACAGTGGTCCTTCTTTGACAACGAGATTAAATCCGAAAGAAAACCTCATTTTTAACTACTCATATATATATTTTGAACCGAAAACATAGATTTCATAAGTATAGATATGCCCATATATACATCTGATCACTAAAACTTATTTTAACTTGCAAAAACATGTAAGATACAACAAATTCGACGGACGATCTTCATTTTTCTGCGTAAAATGCTTCACAATTTTGATCTGATTTTCGAAAAAGTTATCAGATCTGAAGAGAGAAAATGTGCAGAAAAATGAAGATCAAACCCTCACTTTTCGGTCGAAAAAAGTTTTTATACATCAGCTACACGTGGAAGTAATTAACATGCCTTTCTGATGGGCCTTAAAAAAATTTTCGTGACTTTGTTTGCTTCTGTGGAGAGAGAAAAATGTTTGGGCCGATAATGTGAATTTTGTTGTTTTTTTTTTGGGCTGTATACATATGTCTTAAAGTTGTATTTATTTGGTCATTGTGAAATCACGAACATTTTATGATTCAATAATGTTCCTATGTATTTTAATGATTTCGATTTTGATCCTAATGCACGTCAAATTATATTATTCTTGAAAATTATACAATCCGTGCATCGCACGGGTTACGTACTAGTTGAACAAAAATAAATCTCCAGTGTATTTGTAACATCTGAAGCATTTCAAGTTCTGTCAATTTAATTTTTGCCCCGCAATGAGGTGAAACGATCCAATTGAATCTGAGATACTTCAATAAAATAACTATAAATAGAGTATATGGTTCAATCTTTTTTTTTTTCCTCACCAATTTAGTGAACCGGACTAGCTTGGTGGGTCGACTCGGAACCCGTCGACACGGAGGTGGGACCTTGTTACCTGGTCAAACACGGTCAACTCGACCTTTTTTTTTTTTATTTTTCCCCAAAAGACATTTATATTAATAACTTAAAATCTCAAAGGGTACACCCGAAGTGTCAAGTGACACACTGGAACCACAAGATTAGACCAATCCCCCTTGTCAACACATACAAGGGGGGTACAAACTCCATCAAGGAGGCGGACAACTACAAAGCAACACTCCAAGAAAGAGACACAAACTCCATAAAGGAGAGAAAAGCAGACAGAACTGCACTGAACGAAACAACCAAAACAACAAAATAAAAACCAAAACTCCCGTCATGAAAAACAAAAAGAAAGAAAGAAAATACACACACCTAATTTACAAATAAACTAGGACCTCTCCTACACCTAACAAACCTAACTCCCGGCCACCCCAGACCGCACACGAGCCACTACCACTAGCATAGAGATCCAACAAAGCCGCAAACCAAAACTTCAAGCCCGAAAACTGCGCCACTCATGCCGCCTCAGATCTGATGAAGAGACTGCTCTCGATTTAGATCTGGACTCCATAAAACTATCCACGCTAGAAGAGAAGGGGAGCCACCCCTAAGTCATCAAAAATCACGCCGGAGGGCTCGAAAATGGTTCAATCGCGCAGCTGAGCCGCACCCGAACACCACACAAAGAGAACCCGAACCCCGACGCACCAACAACCCGAAGGACTCCAGGGGATGGGGCCTGACGCGAATGACCGACGACCTTTCCGTGGCCAGGGAGATGGCGGATCTGCAGGCACCAATCTCAGCCATACTCCCATGAGGCCACGAAAACAGCGGGAAGAAGGTCCACCAGCCCCGACGACGCGGTTGTAGGTTTCCGGTGAAGGAGGGGCAGCAAAACTCAAATCGAAATCACTTGATTCCAAAGCTCACTTAAAGACAACAGAACAAGCTACATATCATATGAAGACCAGGTTCTCATAAAACGATTATTTCATGAGTATTTCAGGGATCTGAGCTTTGGTTGCAGAGGGGTTTTGCGTTTGGGGGAGAAGCAGTCAAAGTTATTTTTTGGTCAACTCAACCTTGACCTAATCGTTTTTTCTTTTTAAAATAAAATTATGCATATATATTTATATAGCAAATGCTTGTGACAAGATGCAATATGATATGGGATATTATACCCACAAGGCTGAACCGGTCTATTGACCGGTCGAGGAGGTCGTATGATGAGGGAGTCAAAGAAATCGAGCAGTTAGCTAGTCGACCAAGCAAAGCCGTCGACCAAACTATCCTTCGACCAGATACACGATCGAGCAACCTATTCGACCTCAACAGGTCGATTACTTCGAGGACTTAACACCACGCTGTT